GGGTGCCGAAGCTATTGATACACTCGCAGAACCATTGCTGGGAGCGATTGTTGGGATAAGTGAACAGAGATATTGGCACACTTCTGTTGGATTCTGTTTCTGATTGATGCTCATTGATGCTTCTTGTGGCTGATCTACATTACATTAAAAGATTATTGGTTCCAAAAATAAACGAATAATTCCTAGAACCTCCGAAACAATATTTTCAAACTTTTATCCATTTTAATAGAGCATTCGCAAAAGAGTGCTCAAAGTAGGGCTGAAGCTAATGTCCAAAGTAGAGATTTCGGGGGGAGGATTTGGCCATTCCATGACATTGGCGATTGTCTCCACCATTCAGCGTCCACTGTCCGCCGCTCCACTTGCCATGCCATGCGCTGCGTTGCGTTGCGCAATCGCCTTGCCATTGCCCATTGTTCAATTATTGTTGCAATTGTTGCTCCTAATACAAATTAACTTTTACCATCCACCCACCCAAAACGCACACTCACACCCAGCACTGCTGCCGCTGGGGATTGTCTTTTGCGGCGTGAACATAGAACTTTCGATCTGCACTCCCTTTTGGGTGGGCAGATTAGAAGACAGAGAGAGAGAGAGAGACACTCCAGAGTTTGAGAGAGCACAGGCAGACGTGTGCGAGAGGGAGAGGGGGAGTGTGTGCAGAGTGGGAAGCAACATCTATACTAGGCAGCACACTCACTCTCACTCTCCCTCTCGCCAAAGCTTCTCCCGTCTCCCACCTCTCCATCTTCCCTGCACCTCGTCTACACCCCGCTGCCATCATCCAAAGCGAGTGCAATGGCAGCATGTGGCACAGTTTTGACACAAGGCTGTTGGCGTGGCGGGTTTGGTTTGGGTTGGGGGGGGGGGGGGGGGGGGGGGGGGGGCTATTGGGCTGTTGCAGTGGCAAAATGGGTGAGCATACGCAAGTGTTGGGGGAAAAAGAAGCTTTTTAGGGGGCAGCAAGAAGCTTTCAGCGAGTGTGCGCTTCCTCCTTAGCGCCCCTCTGCATTCAGCCCTCCCTAACCAACACACCACCACACGGTTTAGCCGGTCAACGTCCACACAGACACACACACACATGGAAGCAACATATGAATGTATGTACAAATGCGTGTTTGGAGTCGCTGCTTTGCTCAAATTCTAATTTGAATGCACTACTTGGATATGATGGTGGTGCACAATGCACGGGTAGGGGGGGTTTAGGAGAACTCTTCTCGGGGATAGAATTTCCATGTTCTATGTTGCCCATTTGCCGTTGCAATGAACTCCAGCAGTATAGGTGAGCGCGGTGAGTGCTGGCGGGGGGCAGACAAACAAACATGCAACTGTTAGAGCGAGCCCCAAAGCGGGCAAGAGATAAAGAGAGAGAGAGAGAGAGAAGGAGACTGGCGCTGACTGACTGCCTGCCTGCCCGAAAGCATAACTATGACGTCGACGTCGTTCGGCTAAGTATGTTCGTATGCTCTCGTCTCTCGTGTCGCTTGTCTCTGTGCCGCTGCCTATGCCTTTGCTTTTGCCCCTGTGTTGGTGTTGACGTGCGCTTGCTTTTGTTGTATTTGCTTGGTGTGCTTTTTGTTTTACTTTTTGTCTATTGGTTTTCATTTTCGTTTGCAGTCAGCGTCGCTGCTATGCGCTGCTCTGCTCTGCTCTCAGCGCCAGCTGCGCTGCGCTGCCCCCTGGCCTATGTCTATGACTGTGCTCCACTCTGTCGCCGCTTCTAATGTCTGTGGCTGCGCTGCGCGCCGATCGCTGGCAGCGACTTCGGTCGAAATAGTTTTGATGGAGCTTGGGGAGTACCGTCAGTGCGAGTGCCAGTGCCGCGATGGGCAGAGAGAAAGGGAGAGAGAGAGCGCGCAAGAGAGATAGAGTGATAGAGTGAGTGTGGGGAGTGAGTGTGGTATGTGGCGGCAACGTCTACGCCTGCGCTGGCATAGCTTGGCGCTGTTGCTGGTTGCTGGCTGGCAGCGGCGGCGACGACGACGACGACGACCGCGACAGTGGCAGTGGCAGCAGCGCTTTTGTGGCTGCTGCTTTCTTTCGCTCGCTTACTCCTTTCATTTCACTTTATTTCGTTCGCATGCACGCACGTTGGCCGCGGAGAGCAACATCCCAACTGAGCAAAACTAACAACAAAAACAACAACAACAACAACAGCAGCCCAAGCAACAGCAACGGGCTGTCGCTGTCGTCGTCGTCGTCGTCGTCGTCGCCGTCGTTGTTGTCGTTGTCGTCGTCGCAACACACGGAAGAGATTTGCAAGCTTTGACTTAGAGCTTCAACTCCGACTCCGAAATTCAAAACCGACTCCAAATATTCCGACTACGGCTCGGACTTGAACGGTTTACGGCTACGTTCCGTGTTGAAGTTTTTAGTTTCGTTTCGATTTGGCGGCTCAACGGATTGCTCCGGTTACAACGGTTAACGGCTAACGGGACAAACACATGTGCGATTCTGAACTGAACTGATCTCGAAGAAAAGTTTAACGGTTAACGGAGATCCTTCCCCCTCGTGCAAGAACGTTTTTTTTTGTTGTTTCTATTGCATAAATGCATAAATGGATATCTATTTTTTTTACTGTTTGTAAATTGTAACCGAAACTGAAATTGAAATTGAAAACTGAAATCGAGAGTTTTTGCTCGTATGTAAAGTATATAGAGGCAAGAGAGTTGAGCCAAGAGTGGTATGTGCCAATAGTCTGACCCACGACCCACGACCCACGACCCGACCCAAGCCCTGCCCTACACCCACACACACACACACACACACCCAGGCAAACACATCCCACAAATCTGATATCCCACATCCAAGTCTCATTTCTCAATAATAAAACGAAAGTGCGAAACCCCTTTCAAACGGATCTTCTCCGTTCCAAGCCCGCCGCCCATTCGTTCCATTCCATTCCGTTCTGTTTCCATATCTATCGATATCGTTTCGTTATTTTTGTTCAGTTATTTCTTACATTGGCAATGGACGCAGACGAAGAAACGGGCTGAGAACTACTTAAACACCCACCCACCCATACATGCAGCCATATCCCATAACAATTTGTTTTTTGTTTTTGTTGATCTGTGTGTTGTTTTTGATTCCACAATTAACTAACGAAGAATAACGGACAGGGCAGAAGGAGCTGCCAAAATCAAAATATACAAAGAGAGAAAATAAACATTTTCCTGCAGCTGTGATCCAAACAAAAAGAACAACAAAAAATAGTTCAAGTTACATGCAAATTGGATTGCGGACATCCATTGGTAGGATGAGCACCCGGAAGCAGCACGGAAGCCAGCATGGCCAGAGCAATTGCAACGGTTAATCTGAAACTGCCCACCTAGGATCTAGCATCAAATGAGCGCCAGCAACCAGCCGCTGATCCTTGAGCCGCAGGCCACTGGGCCGGCGACAACTGTTGCTGCTGCTGCTGCTGCAACAGAGGATTGCGGGACACCAGCAGCAGCAGCAGCAGCAGCATCAGCAGGGGCGGCTGTCAGCGCAGCCACAGCTGCAGATGCCCTCGACTCGTGTCTCTGCGTGGCTGGGAGTGGCAGTGGAAGCGGCGAGGTGCGGCTTAATGGTCGTGAGGAGCCAAGGAGCCTGGTGGTCAATGGCAGTCGACATGCTGGACACAAGCACAGCAACAGCAACAGCAACAGCAACAACAACCACAGCAGCAAGAGCAAGAGCAACATAAACAACAACCACAACCGCAGCAGCAGCAACAGCAACAGCAACAACAACAGCGATGAGCACAACAGCGATGGAAGCAGCGACAACAACGACATCGATGAGCCCACCGTCAAGGACGTGCTGCTGGACAACAACAAGCTGATTATCATCAAGACGCCGTTGACCAAGACGCTGCTAAAGAAGTGCACCATTAGCAGCAGCAACAACAGCAACGGCACACTGCCCCATGCAACACTGAATAACAGCAACAGCAACAATAATAATAATAACAACAGCAACAGTGCCCGCAGCAACAGCAACAGTAACAGTAACAGTAACAGCAACATTAACATTAACAGTAACAGCAGTAACAGCGCTGTTAGCAGCGCTGGCGCCAACGACTTGACAGTCGACGCCGCCTGCGTTGATTCCGGTTTGCAAGGCGGAAATAGCAATGAACAAGAAGCGTTTCCGAATGATCATCATCATCACCATTACCACCACCACCATCATCACTACCATCATCATGGCGAGGGCGGCGACAAGGGCAGCGATGGTGCTGCTGCTGCAGCCACCGGTTCGGGTTCTCGTTCTGATTCGGGCTCGGGCTCTCAATCTCCGGCGGAGCTGTCGTTGGTCAAGACCGAGCAGCAGCAGCAGCAGCAGCAGCCGGATAATGAATTAACGACAGCAACAACAAATATTTCAGCAGCAGCAGCAGCAGCAGCAGCAACAACAACAACAACGGCAACATCAGTTGCAGCAACACCAGCAACAACAACTTCAGCAAGTTTGGCGCTAAATGCGTGCCATCCGAGCAAGTGCAACAAGTGCAATTCCCACAATAATAACAGCAACAGCAACAACAATAATAATACAATAAGCAGCAACAACAACAACAATAACAGCAGCAGCAACAGCAACAGCAACAATAATAACAATAATAATAATAATAACAACAACAACAATAATATACATTACAACAATTACAATAATTACTATAAGAAAAAGTCTCGTATGCCGCCCATTTGCCGTTAGTATTGTTTTTCCATATATTGTATATTCTTTCTTCGTATCATCCCCTACCCCAAAGCCCACCCACCCTCTCACTCGACCAACGCCCCCCCCCCCCCACAGCCACAGTCACACCCCTTTAGCACAGCCTCCTGCAGCTCATCTTATTTCCTTTACCCTCTACCAACAAATTCTAGTCAAACAAATTAAACAACCAACCAAAATTATGAAAACAAATGCGAAAATGAATACAAATTTCAAACAAATTCAAAAGTGCAAATAAATGTGAACAAATTGGAAAATATTCAAGAATTGGCAATCCCAAAGCACCACCACCAACCCCACCCCGCACCACCACCAATCCACCACCAATCCACCACCCTGTTGGAAATGCATTTGTGTTGGAGCCTGCCCTGCCCCAAGGTAGCGAGCAGCGGGCAGCGGCTGTCTAGATGCTTCCCGAACCCGAAGTCACAATAATACCAAAAACAAGAAAAACAAAAACAAAGATACCAAAACACACACACACAACAACAAGCAGAGGCAACACACAAATGCACAAAAAGATAAGAAACAGCAAGAAGAAAAAGCAAAACAAAAACAAGAAAATCAAACCAATCGGCAAAGAAGAGAATTTTTTGTTTTTATCCAAATTTGAGAAATTTGATAAATTGGCAAAGACAAGAACAAACCAAATTACAATGACATCCATAGGTAATTTTGTGACTACAATATATCCTTCCGCACACCAAAACTAACCAGACCCCAGCCCACCCTGGACCCACTGCTGAGAGTTTCTAGAGCTGAAAATGGGGGCAAGAATGATTCAAAATTGAAACTCAAGCACTAAGCTTTGTGAGTAACTCCCCCAATTTCAGTCTCTCTCCGATTCTCTCGCACCTAAGCCCGCTACCCGATTCCTTATGTACAGATTGCTAAACATACAAATATCTAATATCTATCTAAAATATATAAAATATCAATCAAATATTACTTCAATTGAATGCATATTGAACATCTCAAATAATTCTATACAATTCTTTTTGGTGCACAATCCCATAAACGAACGGCTAATGTAATTTTAAGGAATTCAAATTTAAGCTTACTCGATTTGGGTACTTCTCAACACTCTAACAAATATATTTATAACTTCTCCAACAAGAGAACAGCACACAACTGCATACAACATGTACATCTATGTACACTGGAATGCAGTTTCTGTTGATCTTCAGCTGGAACAGGTACACAACACAAAAGATAGCACCAGGAGGGGGGTATGGCTATATCTGTTTTCCACATGCATGTCTCCCCTTATACGGACACAATGTATGGACAATATTTGTTGGCTCCACGCGCCTCTACAGAAACACTGGCGAAAGATATACGCTGAGAAGAGAAGAGAAGAGTGGCAGAGACAGGGGCAGGGGCAGGCGGCACGCATGGTTTTATTGTTTAGAATAATCTTGCGCTTGATAATGAAAATAGGTCAAATTTTAAAAATACACACACAAACGACATTGTAGTCGTTCCCCAGTCATCAGCGCCAGCGTCAGCGTCAGCGTCGTCGGCCAGACGTAAGAGCGTAAACGACAGAGAGAGA